GCCATTGAAAGGCCCAGCCAAGCCATAGAAAGAATGGACGAAGCAGACGGTTGGCGTCGGCGTTCTTGGATGTACTTCCGGCGTCATTCTGTACATATTCTCGTATCATCATGATATATACATATATATTTTAATACCGTTTTTGAGCTAAGTATTTTACTATTCAGCCAGTATGTTTTTGATGGTTCACGTGTGATAGTTATGAGAGATTTCCAGTGACCAACTGATAGCTAAGATCAAAAACGGTACCCGAAGGACTGCTATTGTCATTCGTGACTTGTTTCGCCCTTCGTCGTGTCAGCGGCTTCCCCTCTCCCGAACGCTCGTAGTGGAAACGAGAGAACGATGCTAAACAGATTCCGGTTGTAGGTCTCCTGTTGTCTTCCCGAATAAATAAATAAATAAATAAATGTTCGTCGAATACATTTCTTGACTGGTTGGCTTTGCTCACCGAAAAGCTAATTCCTTTGGCGTTTTTATCGAGTCCATATTTCATGCCCTGGAAACCACTGTCAGGTTTCATAGGAATGAAGGCATCCAGTAAACGCTAAAGTCAATTTTTAAGAGGATATGTAATCAGGTAGGGTCGTACAGCAAAATAAGCATTTTCTATATTCAATTCTGTTCACCTTAGTGTGCACCGTTGCTTTCTTGTTTGCGGCCCTCCTTGTTCCGCCGTCGATCTGGCTCGAATTTCGACCACGTAAAATAAAAACCGATAAGCGCCGTTTTATAACCCGGAATCGTACCTCCTAGTCACATGATACTCGCGATGGACAAAATTTAGTGGAAACAATGGGTGCATAACGGCGCAAACCTGGCACCGTCCCAGCACGCGTATTCCGCCATACTGCTACGACCTTGAGTTCGCCGAGCTAGGTCTCGCTCTGCTACCGGGGGAGCCCTGGCGTAAATTAAGTGCGTGTCAGCTGAACACAGCTCGGGGTCGTAGATCACACACACAGCTTGGACCGTGAGGATTCGAACGCCGAGCGGCACTCGCGCACTTGAGTGAGTACAGATGCGAATCGCAGCCGCTCGCGGCGCACCGTCATGATGTCGCCATTCCTACTTGAATATATTCTATTGTTATACGCTCCGCTTGAACTTCGTCGCTGTTCGGAATGATGCAAGCTTCTGTTGTCCTTGAAAATTATAGGATTTTCTCTTTAGACATTCTATAGTCGGTGGCAGGCTAAAGATTCAGGGCCGCGGCTTTCAAGAAACAGGGTCTCAGCTGAGATTGGTGGAAATAAAGCACTGCCAAAGCCAGCGCACGAGATGAGCGGGACTCCAACCGCGTCTCGAGACGCTCGCTCCCGGCTAACTTACACGAGAAATTTTCGCTCGTTTTATCGAAACACCACGGAATACTCTCTCGGTAGATTTTCATCGAAAGGAAGCTTCCTTGTCAAGAGGTCCCATTAAAAGTGTGCGCGTCCCGGTTCTGTAACTCATGAGCTCTACAGCTGTTTGCGAGCCCAACGCCGAAGCCACAAGAACGATGCACAAAAAGAGAAGACAGAAAGTGCGTGAGCAATTCCAATCCCGCTGCTTCCTGCCCTGGGCTGTTCCCCCCCGGGAAAACAAAAGAGAAAAGAATGCCGCTGGAAACGCGAGTCAACGTCCGCGCCCGACGGGAAAAGTGTGGGCCGCGGACCGCGGATGGGGGGACCTCAACAATGGCCGGCACGACCGCACGGAGGGTCACGGAAGTCCGCGCGCCGCACCGTCTCTTCCACTCTTACATGTGTTCCGGCTACAAAGGTTGCATCTGACAGCTCCACATTTTGAACGACACGAGCCTAGTATAAACAAGAAAATGAAAAATATCGTAATAAATCCGGAAATCTGTCTCCTGTCAGATATAGAGCGGCTTTTAATTGCGTCTCCCCAGTAGAGGGTCAGTTTACATAGTGCAGTGTCGTTGACTTCTGAGCTGAGAATGAACTCGGCAACTTTACGAGGTAATGCAAGAGCGTGAAAAGCACCTGCGCAGCTCTGATCGTTGTGCGAGCGCAACTT